CATACCACCATGTCCGGTCTCAATCGCCAGCTCAGAGTGCCCCAGGGGCGGGGTGGGCACGGCATGCTGGGGATCAAACCCTGGCCGCTACGCTCTGTCTAGGTAGGTGCTTTAGTCCCCTAAGCTATCAGGCTGGCCCCTCACACACTGCTTTTTAAGAAAATAGTCAAACTTCTAAATTACAGGTCAAGAAAAATTGTAGGAGGAATTAAGAGAATAAATGATCTGAATATACACTGATAAAATGGCCATATTAGCAAAACAGTCTACAGATTGGTATTAATGCCTAAAGTCAATATGGCAAATATGGAGAACATTCTTTAGAGAACTAGAAAAATAATAGTAAAATTGATATGGAAACACAGAAGACTCAGAATAACCAAAGCAATCGTAAGCAAAAAAAAAAAAAAACAATGCTGAAAGCACTACAATATCTGATTTCAACTTACATGGCAAAGCTATAGCAACAACATAAAAACATGGCATTGTTACAAAAACAGACATATAGACCAGCACAACAGAAGACACAGAAACCTATGCATCTCTAGCCATCTGGTTTTTGAACAAGGGGTCCAAAACTGGAGAAAGATAAGTATCTAACAAATGGTGTTGGAAAAACTGGATAGCCACACTAAGAAAACTAAAAACTACATCCCTAGCTCCCATCCTACATTAAACATCAATTCAAAATGGATCAAACACTTAGGTATAAGACCTCAAACTTCAAAACTGCTAAAACAAGACAAGGGAAATATTTGAAGCCATAGGCACATGCACAGACATTCTTAATCGGACTCCAATAGCACAGCAAATAATATTAAGAATCAACAAATGGGTTTTTATCTATTTAAAAGGTTTCTGCACAGAGTGAAGAGGCAACTTACAGAATAGGAGAAAAATCTTTGCTAGCTACTCTTTCAGAGGACTAACATCTACAAAAAATAAAGAACTCAAAAAGCCAGATCATATACAGTGTTTACTATAAGGTAGGAATGTTTTTGTTCTGTAAACATTAACTGTTCATACTTTAGGTACTTATTTTGTCTATTCTATGGACAAGAAACTGCTGTGCCTAGGTCACCTAGTTATTTTACTGTAGAAGAAGAATTCAAATTCAGTCTAGCTCAGAGTACGACCATGCTATCCTGATTACCAATAGCTTTTACAGACGCAGTCTTCTAAGTGGGGTATTTGAACCCTGTCTAGTACAAAAAACAAATGCTTCACAAGAGAAAAGCAGAATGTGCTGTCTATTCATTTAACATCATCATTTTATCTCTATTTGTTGTGTAAGCTTTAGAAGGTATAACATATTAAGTACCTGCACCTAATTTACAAATAATTAAACAGATGTTATTAGTAGTGCACTCTCAAAAACCCGTTACTGATTGTATCGGTCTCATATGACTAGCTTAACAGCAGACCAAAAATTATGTGGTATAGGACAGTAAATTTATTCTCTCACAATTTGGGGTGTCAAAAGTCTGAAACTAAGGTATCAGCAGGGCTAAACTCTGTCAACAGCTTCAGGGAAGCATGTGTTTCATGCCTTTCTCTTAAACTTCTAGTTTCTTCAGTAATCCTTTATTTATTTTTATTTATTTTTATTTTTTATTTTTTTTTCAGAACCGGGGATTGAAATCAGGCCCTTGTGCTTGCCAGGGAAGCACTTATTCCACTGAGCCATCTCCCTGGCCCCAGTAATCCTTTATTAATGGCTTCTAGCTGCTCACTTCCACAGATGCCTCCATCGTCCTATGAGTCTTTTTTCTTCTCATAAAGATGCATGGAGTATTAAGGACCCATGATATTCCCGTTAGCTTTATCTTAAATATCTGCTAAGACTTTCTGGGTAACCTCTTGAGGCACATGAGGTTAGGACTTCGATGTTATCTTTTGGGACACCTAATTTTTTTTTTTTTAAACAGGGTCTCACTATGCAGTTTGGGCTGGCCCTGTACTCACTTTTGTAGCCCCCAGGCTGGTTTCGAACTCACAGCAATTCTCCTGCCTCAACCTCCTGAGTACTGGAATTACAGGCATGCGTCAGGTTCTGGGTGAGTCTGGGGATTGAACTCAGGATGCTGTCCTTACCAGGTTAAGTGTTTATGCCTCTGAGCTATCTCCCCAGCAGCAGGACATTCAATTCAGCTACAGATTCAAACTCCCCTCCCCTCCTCTCTTCTCTCCTTTTTGGTATTGAGGACTGAACCCCAGGGCATAAACACTGAGCTGCCCCCTTTCAATTTTTAAAATTCTGAGATTAGTCCTTATTAAGCCACTCAACTGCCCATGCTCACAACTTAGATTTGCAATCCTCCTCAGCCTATCAGAGGGCTGGGACTACAAGTGTGTGCCATTATGTTCAACTTCAAAACCCTGTTAAGTCTACGTCTTTGTGTATAATGGATCAACTGATTCACAGAGTTCACAACTCAAGATCCATCCACTTCTCTATATACTTGTTTGAACATATAAGTTTATAAAATTCATCAAGATTTGAAATAAGACTGGGTACAGAACACTACAAAAGAGAAGTCTGACAAACAGATCTCTGAAGATAGCCACAAACCCCTAAGTGAAGAAACAGAAATTTTTTTAAAAAGAAAGGCAGCAGATAATTGTTCATATAGATTCTTACTAAGCTCAATTTGTCCTCTGGTTGTTTCTTTTAGAAAATAACTCATTCTGTCCCAGCAGGGTTTTAAAATTAATTTAATTATGTCCTTTTTCATGGAAGCCACAAACCAGACTTAGAGGGCAGGCAAAATTAATCTATTTGGGACCCTGTATCCATCAAAAATTTTTCCTTCTTTTACTTTTTTTCCTTTTGAAATAGGGTCTTGTCCAAAATGGCTTTGAACTATGCATAAGTGATCCTCTGGCCTCAGCTCCTGACTAAGTGGAATTCTGGGTATGTCATTGTACCTTGCTGGAAGTGTCTTTCTTGCCATGGCACTGATAGGAAATGATGATGATAATTAAGATATCTTACCTGCCAGTTAAGCACTTTATGAATGAGATATTCATATTGTCATTATATGAATTTTTTTAATTTTTATATGAAGTAATTTTAAATGTGTCTTTCTGGAAGTCAGTAATAGTGCCCCACTAAAACATAAAATACTTAGGTGAGATTTCAAAGCTAGCCCCAACACCGAGTTCACATGAACTTACTGAACTTCTTGGCCCTGTAAAAATTTTATCTCACTTACCATAAGGAGCAATTATATTCATTTTACTGTTTCTTCTGTTTCAGTTACATTATTAAATAGATATCTGTGCACTAATTGGGATCCCTAGCATTTTTGTATCTAGCTCCTCTTGACATAATCCTTACAAGGCCCTTCCATGTCCCACTTCATGATGTATAATCACTCCTTTTACATGGGTAAAGTCCACTGCTGGAACATATCTCATTTTATGTAACCAGTAACCATCTGATGGACACACATGCTTCCACTGTGGTTAAATGTTTATAGGCTACATTTGTATTAGTATACAAGCTTTTGTGTGGACCTATTGAAACTTCTCTTGGATCTAGACTGGGGAGGGAAATTGCTGGGTTCTATGGTAACATAATTAACTTTTTGAGGACCAGCAAACTTTTCCAAAGTGACTAAGTAAGCCATTGTACACTTCTAGCTACATATAAAAGGATTCCAGTTTTTCTCTATCTTCACCAATACTTGGTTGTGCCTTTCTGAAGAGATACAAATAGTGAGTATAAGTAGTACTTCATCATGGTTTATAATGTTCAGCTACTTTTCATGTTATTTACTTTTAAACATCACAGTAATAATTATCCATCACAGAACAAAGAACACTGTTGATTCAACAGTAGAGTTTTGTAGCATCCAACAGTATAAAGATGATTCATTTGGAAATCCAAGTATCATCTGTATTAAGATGCACAACACTCTTTCTAATGATCATTAGATTATCTATTGCTCCTAATAGCCATAAATACAATTAACTACAGCAGAAACTATTCTATCTAAGCATCTAAAAAATGGACGAATTCAAACTGCAAAATTATTCTAAAATCCTTTTTCCCCTGCCAATGTTCATCTATTTAAAAGTATTTTAGATCGGATTATCATAACTATAGAATGTGCTGTCATTATTAAAATGTCCAAGCCTTAAGGTACAGACAGAATGGAATGAATGAAACTGGACAGTTTCAATACCATCAAAACAATTCCCCTGATAACACCTACAAGTTCTGCTGGGCTACACATTTTTACCGTACCACACCTGCTTAAAGCTTTGGTGTGTGCAATTATTTATTACGTGTTGCAGTTTATTGCCCATCATTGTTTGAACTCACAGCTAAATATCAGAAATTAATCAAATTAGGTTAGGTATAAAGTATTTTGCATAAAAAATCTACTATATTCCAGAATTCATTATATGTATTAAGTTAAAGGAGCACTACAAAGTTGATCCTCACCCTTGAATTCCTCTGAAAACTTTGTTACTGGGCTAAATATATTCTTTTATCACAAAAATATTTATTCAAAGAGTAACTAAAATTTTGTAAAGATGTGTGGAATACTTTCTAAGGACTAAAAGTATATGGATATTATCAATTTTTTATTCACTGATTCTCTTTTCTGGTGTATCTCTAATTTCTTTAAATTTAAGTGGGTTAACTCATCACTTTTTTGTATATTTCTAATTTCTTTAAATTTATGTGGCATAACTCTTCAGAGTTTCAAACAACAAAAGAAAGGAGGAGCAGCCCCAATGTATCTGTAGGGGATTGATTTTAGAACCCGTTTCAGATCTCAAAAACCTGCAGATACTCAAGTCCCATATAAAACTGCTTAGTAAATGGTATATATGTAACTGTTGTATTGTACTGTACATGTTCAGCACAGATAAATTTTTCTCTCAAATGTTTTGTGTGGGTGGTTAGCTCCAGGAATCTGGATCCTGTGAATACAGAGGGCTGATTGCTATATAAATTCATATGATTTTTTTTTTTTTTTTTTTACCTGTGTCCATACTTTGGTTCAACTGCTGATCACTTGTTTCTCCATCTTCACTAATATATCCAGGTGGTGGCGTTTCTACAAAAGTTTGGAACAAATGACACATAGGTATGATATAATTTCACTACTTTTTTTCCAGCTACCAAGTATAACCAACTAATAACTCCAAAGAACAAGTAAGAACAAACATAGCATTACTATAAAAAGAAGTATTGGGCTGTTTTGGCCCAAATTCTGCAGGTAAATCCTTAAATTCTGCCTGTTGTAATAATCCAGCATATTTATCTATCTGGTTCTTCCCATATGTACATATTCTGGGCCAAGAGCCAAACATCAAAAATACTTCTGTTCTGAAATCAGTAGGCTTCAGAGACCTTAGTATCCTAAAAACAATTTTTGTTTCAACTAATGATTAAAAAATTAAAGAAAAAAAATTAAACATACACACATACACACAGATTTCAGATTATAAAAAGTAACAATGCCTATATCTTACACTAAGTTTTATAAGATAAATTATAGTAACATAGTTCATAACTAGGCTAGCCTCAATTCTACCTCAAAACTATTTTTCCAGGGATTTCCATCTTATCAATTCTAAGTCATCTGAAGCAAAAAATGCAGGTATATAAATTACTACCTAAAACAGGGAGAAACACCCCCTAAAAATAAACAGGATTCTAATGTGTTTTCCAACATGTTTTTTTAAACAAAATGTACTACAGAAACAAAGGACCAAGGGCTCTCACAATGAGCTTTATTTTAGTTACTTTATTTTTTTACTTTGACAGGATCTTAGCAAGTTGCCCAGGCTGGGCTCAAACTTGAGATCTTCTTGCCTCAGCCTTCAAAAGTGCTGTGAATACAAGTTGCACCACCACATCCAGCTCAAAAATGCCCCACTTTTTCTTACTGTGTTTCTTTACTTTTCTCTATTGCTTATCTATAAGTAAATCATAAAGTTACTGATATTTTATAAAAATCTCTCTTCAAGTAGAAAAAAAATTGATTCAACGTTACTTGAGCTAGATAAAGCCTTACAGATCAGCAAAGCAAAGGTTTGATTTTTTTTAATTTTCTATTTTTTAAATTTAAATAACTGAAGAAATGAAGAACTGAAAAAGTAAGTCCAAATATCTGTACATGAAGAGCACGAAAATTATGAATAACATCCTTACAAATAATTATCAGATGTCTTATAAAACTTACTTGCACCTTAGTTTGCTAGTAATAATAGTAATTCCAACATCAAAAACTTAAAATGCCTTCATGCCTCATCTCTCCATCTCTCACACACAGCCCACCACTCCTAGCCACACCCAGTGCCACCCATACTCGACACTGAACCCAGGACCTTGGCACTCAGCTATACATACCCCTAGCCCACTCTCTACTTTTTTAAGGCTGAGTCTCAATGAATTGCTAACTTTTCTGGGCTGGGCTTGATTTTATGTTCCTCCTACTGCAGCCTCTCAAAATAATGGGATCACACATATGTACTACCTCACTTAGCTCTCAGTCAGGGTTATGGAAAAAAAAAAAACAAAAAAAAAAACCACGATTTTTTGTTTGGGAAATGTCTTGTTATATCACTTTTCTCTCATCCTGATCACCATGATCTACACACCCTCTTTTTCTCCTAACTTCTCAGAAGCTTGCTACTTACCAGCAACCTAAAGGTAGTAATAGTGCTTGTCTATAATCCTAGCACTCTAGGAAGCTGAAGCAGGAGACAACCTTGTACCTATCCTGGCCACTTAAGGAGACCTTATCTCAAAATGAAAAAATAAGGACCAAGGATATAGCTTAGTGTGAAAGCACTGAGTTTGATCTCTCCCACAAAAACAAAAACAAACCCCCAAAACCACAGCCTTGCAAGTTGTTTTAGAATAAAGCAGTAGTCAAAGAACTTAAAGACAATCAGAAGCCACTTCCTATCTGTAAAATAGTTTTTTTAAAAAAACAAAACAAAACTTTTGCTTGTATTTTAAAAATCATGGTCAATGAAAAAGCACTGTTTTCATAACGAAGATTTTTTTAAAATTGCACTTAAAACTCTTAGGTTCCTTATATATTTTTAGTTATAAAATAGGGTGGGAAAAAAAGGTGGAATATAGCAACATTAGATAGAGGGAGAGCTGAGACATTAAAAATCTAGCATATCGCTTAATCTCCATCCTAATAAGTTATTGGTGGGGAAAAAAACAATGTGAAATGAACAAGAAAAGCAACAAAATATAAGCTGTTTTCCTAAAAAAAAAAAAAAAAAAATAGCAAAAAGTAAAAGGGCAAGTACTATACTGAGATATATTGCTGGGTCACATGATACAAGTAAGAACGATGAAACTAAAGCCATTTCTCTCTCATCAGGAGCTCCTGAGGTCCACAAGAAACAGAACTAAAATGAAAGTCTTCCATTTTTCAGACATAATGTAAGTGCTGTTCCATGTACAGGACTAAAACAGTATGACTCCTACTGTGTGAGCATGTTCTTGTCCACCTGAACCATTAGTGATGTGTCCATGACTGTCCCTTTGGGCAACAAGTTCAAGCAACTTTTTATAGACTTATTAATTTTAATAGTAAAAAGACTGATGAAAGTGATTAGATCCATTCATACAAACCCCCCCGATGGCAGAGTCATGCACAGACATACCAGCAGTTCAAGGTGCTACGACAACTAAATTCAAATCAGATCTGCCAGGCAGTTACACATAAGAGTTATATCGCAGTGTTAAAAATGTTACATTTATCTTAAACATATCAAATTCCTTACAAAAAATTATTATTTGGTAGATTTTTAGTTATTTTTGTTACAAGAATACTTTTTTCCTATACCATTTATTTTCATTACATTCTGCATCTTTCTCAGCTTTAGCAACTAAGACAACTAAGATCTTTTCTGCTTCTCAAAGTCAGTTCAAAAAAAAAATGTAATATACAGTAAAGTTTGTCTCCAAACAAAACTGTATAAACCAAATTACCTGTTATAGACTTTTCTATCCTAATCCAAGGAGCATTTTCAAAAAGTAAAACCACAATTTACTAATGCCCAAATGTTTATCACAGATTTTTTTAATCTTAGGTTTTAGTAGAATCAAAAAGCAAAACTACCTGGGATGTAATTACTCTGTGGCTCAATTCCCGCTGGGAAATTAGTGTTTTCTGGTATGGAATGAGTATAATCATCCAGAGGTGGCAGTTCTGTTAGAATCTCAGTGTGCCGTGGCACTAATACCGGAGGCAAAACTACAAGAGTCAAAGAGAGACCAGTTAGAGGCAAGGAGTAAAAAGCTATGGCAGGGTATAAAGCCTTACTAAAAATTTTTACAAGACAGAAGGCATCAGTTTAGCTTTCACAAGTTAAGATCCACCTGTTTTATTATTATCCTAGTTACAGAGATACTGCTATTCTGATGACTATAGCTTACATAGTTGACCATCTAAATTTCTTTTGGAGACAATATGATCTTGCTTTGTATTACCATAAAAGTTCATAAACTTCCAATGAAAAAGTTGAAGAAAGATTTGTCTTAATTTGTAAAGTCACATTTAGGAAATTAAAAAAAAATTGTTAAAGAGTAAATTTCAAGCACACAGCTAAACTAAATGAAAATTTACACAAATGATATTTGTGTAAATGGCTTTTACACAAATATCATTAATCTTAATTCTGAATGCATTCAAAAAGACAAAATTTCTGAAAACAGGTACTGAGATGAATTTTTCCTCTACTGGTTTCACTACAGAGTCAGCCAAACTGTGGCAATTTCTAGATACACACCTAGACATATCAAATAGTACACTGTTCCAAGAAACAGACATTATCTCTCTCTTCAAGATACATTTTCTTATTTTTAAAATTTTTTAAATTCACTTTAATGAGAAAATAGCACTGAAATAGTTTCAAAAACAGGTTAGTACAACAGTTACAATAAATTACACATTGCATATTGTTGTCTTCCTAGTGGTTATTCAGAGGACAAGACGTAGACTTGATATCTTGTCTAAACAATATTGGTACAAACCTTGCTTCTCATTGAACTAAGAGAAAGTAGCTGTATATCTATCCTATTTATATATATATATATATATATATTTTTTTTTTTTTTTTCTCCCCCCACTACAAAATGGCCTTTTATTTATATCCCCCTTTTTTTGTTTTGTCAGAAATGGGTGTTCCATTCTGTTAGAGAAGCTGTATTTGTAGAAGTCTTTAAAGGGTCTTTTCATACTTGATGCCAGTTTAAATATTGTAGGTACTTAAATTAAGCAAAAATAGTCCAATAGTCCATATGAGTAGTGTGTTATCAGCAAAACTGGCAATTCTGAGAAGTTGTTGACTTGAGCCTTTTACAACTCAGCATATTAATATGGCATTACTTTTTATTCCTCGTGGTTATACTTTTCTACTGGATGGTTAAGACCTAGTTAAAGCAAGACCTATATAACTAAAAATGTAACTTCTGTATCTGACAAGGTCAGTCAAATATCTTCAGGGTTTATCCTGAAACCATGTACATCACCTTATAGATCTTCTGTCAGGGTCAGCTATCTGGATGAGTTATAGCCACTGCTTGACCAATCTGCTCTCTGTGAAAGCCTGAAAGAATTTTTTCTCTCCTGATGACTCTCCTTAGGCACAATATATATCACAGATCACTTTCCTTTGTGGCCCCATGATCTCCTTGATCAGAAAATTTGGGACACAACTGAGCTACAGGATGTCACAGCAGAGGTTCTCTTATGTCCTGAGTTCTCACTGACTTTGAAGGACTAGGGCCAAAATACTGGCTATCTTTGTAGCTACTCTATTTATCTAATTTTTGGTCTGTAAACTTTAGTTGTTAAACATTCAGAAGAGAAGCTTAATGATGATATTACCCTGTAACAGAGGCAGTTGGGCTTAACATCACTATCTGTCTGAATACCAAACACCTTAAACATAACATGGAACTGGTTGGGTTTTTTTTTTTTGTTTTTTTGGGTTTTTTTTGGCAGAACTGGGGATTGAACCCAGGCCCTTGCGCTTGCTAGGGAAGCGCTTATTTCACTGAACCATCTCCCCAGCCAGAACTGCTATTTTTGAACAACCACAGATACTCTAAACTTTAAATCCCTACAGAATGTGAAAAAAGCTATTACACATTATAGAAATCAAACAAAAATACGGAATGCTTCACAAATTTGCATGTCATCCTTGCACAGGGGCCATGCTAATCTCCTCTGTATCATTCCAATTTTAGTATATGTGTTGCCAAAGCAAGCACAAGATACATTTTCTTATTAACATCTTAGGCATAACATGGAACAGGTATTTTTCATCAAGTATTGATATGTTGAACTTTACCAAAAAAAAAAAAAAAAAAAGCATTTAAAAAATTTTTAACTACCAAATATGCCTAATTTAAATTAATTAGAATTTTACATTAAAATTTACCTGAGCCACAAGAACACTTAAATACCATTTAAGTTTAGGCATTTAATTTAAAACCCCAAAAAATTTCTGCAGTTGTCCTACCTGGGGTCTCAACTCTCTGATAGTGATAAGGGTTTACACATACTTCATCCTTTTTTAGATTAAAAGCATATTCACAGTTTTCAATTGCCTTGAGTTCATGATGACTGTGAAGATCAGGCCAGCGCCATAACCGACAATATATAACATGTGGCAATCCTTTTCGATGTGAAACCTGGAGACGGCCATCAAGAGACCTATTGGGAAGCAAGGGCAAAACAAAGGAGTAAACTTTAAAAAAAAAAAAAAAGTACAGACATGTGGGCTAAGGTAATACACTTAGGGCATGAAGAAAGGAATGAGCCATTTAGTTAGTTTTAGCAAGAACCAGGAAGAAACATGTATTCTTTAAGGATCTGATAAAATAAGCAGCAGCACTAGCAGATGTTTCCCAACAGTATGTTATATAAATGACTCAAATGCCAATGAAAGACTAACGTAGGGAAAATTCATCTTTTAAAAAGATATCATATAGTCTTACATTGTAAACTTTTTGTCAACATCTACCCTTAAGAGATGTTTCAAAAAGCCTTAAAGCTGTAGGTAACTTAACAGCCAAAACAAAGGAAGTAGTGTGAAGAATGATAAATATCAACAATGATATGATAGTACCTTACTCAGGCTAATATAACTCATTATTTAGTTGTCACTGTTCTGATAACTGAGGTATACTTATATTGCTCACACATAGATGTAGATGGTAATGAGAATGATAGCATGAAATGGACAAATACCAATATACTTAAAGAGAATGAGATGACTTTTTAAAAAAGATAACAAAAGTTAGCCTATACTTAATTGTGATTGGATTTCAGTAAATAACTATGTATTAGTATATAAACATGAAACTTAGATAACAAGAAATTTAGCAAAACCTGATCATGTATTTACTTCAAAATTAGGCCAACAGATTAATCTAAAATTGGACTATGAGTAGTTATCAAATTTTTATCCTTTAGGGAATTCAATTTAAAGAAGATTCAAAACTATACTGCATTGATCAAAACATCAGTTGAAACATTTAATATATTTTTAATACTGGCAAGCACATAGTTTAAATGCTATGCCTTATTTTACATAAATGAAACATCCTAGGCAAAATTATATTAAGCAACCCAGTAGAGGTCTTCCAAAACAACCCCCTCCCCCCAGAATCTCTAGGATTGACAGAGGGCAGAATATTCACCTGGTTTGTTCAGAGAAGCTGTAAAGGCCTGTTGTATCCCACTGATCTATGGTATTTGGTGTACTCAGTCCCCAAATTTCAGAGCAAGTGCTGTGCATAAATTGAAAAACAAAAAATTGATGTGAACATGGAAGCATGGTTATTCAAAATACCATGATGTAAAACATGGAGAATGTACAGAATACTTCCTTCACCCAGAAAATATACATTGTGTTACACTGTTTCAGTCAGTTAGTGCTAGTTACTATATTTTCTATATGAAGGAAGCCAATAAATGGAACATGTGACTCCAGATAAGTTATGATTATGTTTTCAAAGTGTGAACACCAATGCTCTCTAGCTTAATGAAATTATACCTATAATATCCTTTGCACTTCCCCTATTCAAAACAAAAGACCTAATGCCTATACTATTAGCCTTACTAAAATGCTTTATGTTTTTAAAAAATTTAAAAACATCTCAATTGGTATCTTTAGTATAGGAAAATTCCAAATAAAATAGACATATCTAGATTTTAAGTTACTCTGTTGTAGTACTTATACAATCAGGATCACTAAAAATTACTCTTGCTTTCTTACCCCTATAAAGGATAAAAAGATTTTGGAGTCATCCTGAAATAGCATACCACCTTAAAATTTTTCTTTGACATTTTCTTTCTAGCACAAGGGACAGCAGAGATAATTCTCCTTATTCTTCCTGCCACTACTCTTTTCAAAGTAATTTCAGGTCTTGTAAAAGAAGGAAGAGTTTAAAGGAAATTTCTGGAATGGAACTTCTGATTGCAAATGCCTCTCAGGTC